CTCGACCAAAATCCCCATCGAATGCTGTGCCCTGGCTGGGGGAATCTAGGAAAGCAGGGGTGGTACTACGACACCACAGACCATCTTCACACTTGCAATGCTGTACCTCCTGTGGGGGGGGGTGTGGGATAGTGGGAAGTGGAGAATTCGACTAGCAGCATTGCGATATTCTATGACATAGAGGAGTTGGAAAAGTAAGGCTGCGATCTTACCATATCCTTCGCTTTAGCTGTCTACTCTACCGATATAGCATCATTGGCCTCTTACAAGTCGGACGTCACATGTCCAAAATATGAGCACGTGAACGCGGTGCCTAGTGAAGGAAGAAGCAATGAAGTAAAAAGGGCCCGAAAAAGCAAATGCGGGAAAGCTATGAGTAGGGCACCTTTCCGTCATGGTTTACCTTGACGATACGACGGAGCATACAATAAAGAGGGAAATAGTAGGCCACGCGAATCAGGAACGATAGCAAGAGTCGTGAAAATCAGAAGATAAGCGAGATAACAGACGCCGAGTCTAGCTGGCGTGTTCCTCTTGGGCAAAATAGTAAGCCTGCATCGCATGGCTGCACAGCCTCCGCCGCTCTAACTAATGAAGGGCAAGTGGACTGGGGGACTCGGTCACCTAACGCAACTATCACAAGAATGCGTGAAGTTAATAGGCGCAAAAAGTCGGGGGCCACGGAGCGGCTTCGAACCGCATCTTCTGGCTTACGCGGCAGTTGCGTATGCCCCTACTACGGCTACGAGGCGCGAGCTTTTGACAGCACCCCCGCCGCCGCCGCACAACAGCTCAATGGCTATTTGTGCCATAGCCTAGCGTAATAGGAACCAGCCACCTGCCGCGGTAAGCAGAAGATGCGGGTTGCGAATCCCGTCCGTGGTGACGCGAACTTTTATGCCGCATCAACTCAGCATTCACATAGTGATAGCTTTCGATGGTGGTACTGGCGCGTTAAAACATTCATTGTTATTAACAATAACATGACACGAAAGCAACTTTTTAAGGGGTCTTGTCGCAGAATAAAGAGAGAACGAAAACTAAATTAAGGACTTTCGGTCGAGAGTGACCTATGATCTGTGGAATTAAAGCTTGTCTCGAAGTGCCCGAAGTGTCGAGTGAAGAAAACAGGTCCTTTTCGCTCAGCCTACATTAATTTAGCAAAACTGGCTCGTCATACACAAGAGCACAGGAGTGCGAAGTTCTCACAGCTTGGGCTCATACACCGCTTTCGCCATAAGTTGATGGGAATCGACCTTCATCCCGCAAAGCAGCATGATGCGCATAGTTTGAAACACCTCCACTTGAAATGTTGGGCCCTTTGAATCGGTCGCATTGCAGTGATTCGGTAGGGATCAGGCAGTGTCAGAGCCAGCGTTTTATTTCGAGAAATATCCGTATTTGTTGCTGGTAATCGCTTACAAGCCGAAGGCAGGCGGAGGTGGTACGCTTACCACGCGCACATTCCGAAGATGAAATCCCGGCTCGGCTCCCGTCCATGCCAACCAAGCCCTTCTGTAACTCCGAAATACGGTAACATTGGGTAGGGCAGATTCGTCTGTAGGATCACAAGAAGCTGACTTTTACACCAGCTGGTCCCCGCGAGTCATTGTATAGGCCACCGCGCATTCAGAACACCACTACGATTCTGAATCAGGTAGAAATCCCGTAAAAAGAAGATCGATCAATCCAGCACCGTAAAAGGATGATCAACGGCTCGAAGGACTCTAGACGTTAACTTCTGTTTCTGACGGAGGTTCGCTTCGTAGAGATAGAAAAAAGCCTTATATTGGCGCGGAGTAATCACGTGGGATATCCGTTAGCCGAAGAAAAGAAACCAGCGCATGGTAGTCAGCCCCGTTCCAATCCATCAGCTACCTCAAAAACGTCTCGACTAGGTCAATTACGCATCATACCATTAATGCGCTCCCCGTAGAAGCATGATCATGCATAATTAGTTCGAATACATCCTGACGGAACTCAGTCTGGGCTATTGAATCCCAATGGAAGTCGGCCACAGCAGCCATGCCCTACGCCGAGGAACGCTTTTTTATGGAGGGCAGATTGATTCCTGGACAAGCACGTCACGTTTGCTTAGCATGAAAGTGGCTGTTACCTGCGCCAGAAAAAAAGCCAAAATTTGGCATGTAGCCAAAATTGGCAGTGAGCGTCCGTACCACACTTTTCAGGAATCTTCTGGTCAAGCGAACGTGATATCTGTGTTCAGGGAGCTGAGAGCTACGGAGAAAATATTTTTATCAAAATCTGGCCTGGATTTCGAGGATTTAGTCAATAAAGGGCAACTAGTGCCATATAACATCTTGTGCTTTGTGGACAAAAATTCTTGTTTCTATTTTGTTCTGAAAACCAGGTTGCGACTCAGGCGTCACAAAGAAGCGTTGCTGTTTCGCGGACTGCCGATCGCTCTATTTTATGACGCCTAATCATACTGTCACACTGTCTGCTACCCTCCCATTCCCCCATGCTCTGTCAAAACACTAGCAGCCGGCGTCGATCGATACCCGTCTATGGGTACGTTCCCGTCCATAGCAGTTAAGCGCTATTGCAACCGTGGCGCTGCATAGCCCATCGACGCGGACTCGCGGGGTATGAACGCGGCCTTATGAGCACATTGCCAATTAGTCGATTTTTGAAAACCGATTTTATTCAATTTATCTCATACCAAATGCGAACCGGGTTAAATCATCTACAACGTATTCTTTATAATCTAAATATGTAAGGAATGCTGCTATTGCTCTCAACTGAGAAAAAAATGCATCACAATGGAGTCTAATGCACTTGAGTGTCGGTTAGGAGACCCAAGTTGCGACGGAAAGCGACATTGGAAGTTGCGTCACGTGCGCGACATTGCACCAGAACCTATATTCAAGTACGGAAGTTCTGCAGAATAGCGAGCTAACAAGCTGAAAAGTACTAGCTCTTCTGTGCGCTCCACTAAAATTTGCATCTCTCAGCCAACACCCGAATAGGCATTTATCAATTAAATGTAGCTCAAGAACAACGTACAAATTGTAACTAATGTTTCAACAAGGTATCATTCTGGGATACATTTGTAGGTTCAATAAGTAATTTATGTTTTGAAGCTGAAGACTCCATGGCATGGCTCCTCATCCCCTGGCAAAACATGCAGGACTTCTTGGACACTCATTCACGAGTTTAACTTTTCTTTCCTTTCTCACTATTACTTGAGCTATTTTTTTTCTGCATAGCGGGATGCCTACAGAAATCTCCACACTAGACAAAAATACACAATCAGTACATCTCAACGCTATTTGCTAAAAAAGAACCATAGGTGACTGATCTTTAGGGGGGGAAGTGCTCAGTATTCTTCGCTTCCAAGTCTACTCTTCTTCAACAATGCAATGGTCGCATGTTATGTGATGACGTTGACGTTATGCTGCTGAAATAGAATCATATATGTTTACTTGATACTAGATGTGTGCCTCAGTTCGACACGAAGGGGGGGCATTTTGTACTTTTGCCTACTCCCATCGACCGTGTCAACCTCATCTAGACAGCCCGAATTGACAGGTTTTACCATGATGGCTAGATGAGCTTGCTCCAGCTTCACAAGAGTTCACAGGTTTCGCCAGAGTGAGACTTGTAAACCGGAACTAGGGAAGCAATGATAGTACAAAATGCCCCCCCCCCGTCGTCAAACTGCGCCCTGGTGTGTGTCGAATGATTCCTCCTTGCTGTTGGCTGAGGTGTGCCTGCAAAGGATACTGCTCTCGCCATCCCACCGTTGATAGGTTTTACCATAATGGCTAGATGAGCTTGCTCCAGTTCGGACCTCCTTACCCGCACCTGAGATGAAATAGGTTCGCGCTCCATAATTTGCCCAGCACGAGCGTTTTCCTCTAGTGTATGCAACCTCTTCTTCTGAAAAGCGTACCCTATTTTTCGAGTAAAGGTCACCCCTGTACGCGCGCACCGCCAAAAAAGGTTTCCTAAGCTGCGACGTAATTTTTTGTATGTTTCTACGCATGTGCACAGAAATAAAATAAATTGGATAGAAAGTGTTCGAAATCCTGGGAAGATGACAATATGCAAAAATGACGCAGAAAGAGAGAGCATTGTGTTTCAGAACACTTCCTGAGCGTATGTCCGCGCAGCATCTGTGAGTCTATCGCTCACTAGGTACAGCATTGTGTGTGAAACATAATAGGAGGGGGGGGGAGGTCGTAACTTCTCCGCTGGGGGAGAGGGAGTCCGCAATCTGCTTGCTGGAGGAAGGAGGGTACCTTTAAAGATTTAGTGTTTGTGAGAACCAAAAATTCCTCACGGGTTGTTGACTTTTCGCTAATTTTTTTTCTGTTTCGGTGTACTATTACGCCCCCCCCCAACCCCCTCCTCACCCCTCGCTGCGTTTTTCGCGGTTGTTGACTTTTCGCGTAATTTTTTCTGTTTCATGTGTACTCTGTACCCCCCCCCCCCTCGCACTGCAAAATTTTTGGGTAAAAGTGGGAAAATTTCCAGTAAACTCCGGAAAAAGTGTAGGAAGTTGGGGATAATTCAAGAAATTTTCCCCGTTTCATATTGGCTATGTGCCCCCCCCCGCTCGACGGAAAATTTTTGGGTGAAAAAACTGGAAAATGTGGGAAATTGGTAGGTAGGTGTTGGGTAAAGGGGGGTCGTACTGACACCCTTTCTCGGAGGGAGCGGGTCGTAACTACACTATCACTTCACACATCACGATGCTGTAGCCTGATGCTAACATAGTAGTGATATCTGCGGAGGATAGGGTGTGCGAAGGGTCAGAACAGTCTTCCTCACCCATTCTAGCGGACTCATTGTCAGGATGGCATCATTGATGGAAAAGCCGCCTTGGCAGCGCTCCAATGCACTCCACACCCCCCCCACCCCCCATCACACGCACTATCGTTTGCAGGCATTGTGACTGTGAATGAGCCTCACACTCCAGAAAATGTGTAACCTACTAAGAAATGACTGGCGTGACCTACCGTTGCTTGTCTTCTTCATGGGCTTGTTGTGTTTAACATCGGGACTACCATGACGGTGGTGTCGAAGGGTGCTATCTTTTGAAATATCCACTGCAAACAAATATCCACTGTAACAAAATCTATGAAAAATTCATGCGAAAGCAAATATGCTTGTCAAGATAAAAATCAAGAAAGCAAGTCTTGACAGGGTAGGAGAATTTTTGAAAATTCGTACCTATAGTGCAGGCTACGTTGGCTGCATCGAAAAGTCCAAGACCCTGGAACTTCGAGTTAAAGATCCGATATTAAACCTATTGACAATTCACTATGGAATAGTGAAGAAGAGCGCAGTTCGGCGACGGGAGGGGCATTTTGCTTTTTCGCTGCTCCACTGCTTCCGGTTTACAAGTCTCATTCAGAGGCCACCATGGTCAACTCTTGTAAGCTGATGAATTAGCTCTCTAGATGTCTTGACACGTCGATGGGAAGTAGCAAAATGCAAGTACCCCCCTCCCCCGAACTGACCGTTCCGAACTGACCGTAAAGGCATGCTGGTTAGGAGGTGAACCCACGGTGGAGTACCTGAGAGTGCTAGTCAGAAGTTTCAAAATGCGCTGGCCCCATTTGCTAGCTAGTTGACCGAGCTTCTCGTAGCCACTTCGTGTAAAATCAACTACGGTCCAGTGCAAACATCGCGCACGCGACGCCATTTGCAACGCCAAATTGTCGCAACTTGGATTTCCTGACCCCCGTGCGGGCTTAAGTCATTTACATAGTTTTGGCGGCTCCAGATATCTGGTTAGGATAACGTTGTCACTGGGCAACAATGAAT